TAAGCTTCTTTTACTTCTCTATCTGCTTTAGTTTTGAATCCTGTTTCAATGCCGATGAGAGTAACATCGTTAATGGAATGACCGATGTTAATAGAAGATTTATGGTTGTTGAAACGTTCTCTAAGAATTGTTTGTGTATGTCCTACTAATTGGTAATTGTATTTTTAACTGTATAAGGTAAATAGTGTTTTTTGTTTCACAACTGATTTCTTTGGATATTTTAAAGTTTTTTTGATTGTGCTTGTAAGAAAATGAGTCAGTGTTTTTTATGAACTTTCAGATTTGACAACGGGCTTTATTACATGGACGATAACCATTTTTGGGTGGGATGTAATTCACTTTTGTGTGAACAATGATATCTTTTAGAGTTCTGCTTTTCGGAAGGAGACAACGGGAACTTAAAGAAATATCTGTTTAAGACGATCGTTCAGTTGTAGGAGATGAAAATTGTTTGTTTTTTTCTGAATTTTTGAAACTTTTCTGAGTTTAAACTGATAGGTAATAATAAGAGGAATTTTATTTGAAAGTCTAGTATTGCTCTGATTTAGGGATATTTTTTCGCTGAGTGTTGTTAGCCTTTTCAATTTGTCTGTCGATTTCGGTATCTTTATATCCTCTTTGTAACATAGTTTGTTTAGATCCTTGGTGTGTTTTTTGTAGTCTGTTTCATCTGAGCATATTTTCTTCTAATAGTTTGATTGTAGGTAATGTGTCGTTTAGTGTGAGAGGGGTGACAGCTTTTATAGTGACGGTATTGTGGTCTGTCTGTTTTTGTACAAGTCAGTGTGTAAAAGTCAGTCAAGAACGTTAATCTGGGTAGGCGAGTAATCACAAGTAAACAACAAATCCCACCCTACTGAAAATCAACATACACCAAACTTTAAAGAAAAGTCTTTATATACACCTCCACCAGAGAACCACATTTAGAGAACAATATTAAAACATATATGGTATGTAATTTACAAGTCCAAATATTTTAAGAGTTTCACATCAGTACCAAGATGGGTATTGGACAGATAAACTATGAAAAAGGAGCAAAATTGACTGACATTTCTATGAAATTTTAAGAATTCCTTAACTAGATTATCTTTTGATGTTCTACAGATGACAGTTTTAATAATTCCTATACCTGAATATCCTTCGTAGTTTTATGACAGTATATTTTTTATTCTAATTCAAGTGTTTTCTAGAAAAAAGTGTAACACAGATTTTCAACATGAAAATGCCACAACAGGTACAAAATATGTACACTGTTATTTAGGTGCCACTAATTCTGGTTGTTAAATACTCTGACCGAAACTACTATAAAACAAAGAAATATATTTCAATATATCACAGAAGCTTGGATTGTAGTTGTAAAATTTAATCACTGACCAAAGTACACTATGAGAAAAGTGAACAAGGTAAACAACAGAAAGAATGAAATAAATGAATGGACCCATACATAAGTAAATTACAGCGTTCCTCTTCAAAATCCGTAACTAACCCCTCGACTGTCTGTACCCACTAATGTTCCTCTATATATTTTGTTGTGAAGAGACCTGATAGGATAATTTCTAGACTTCGGTTCCGACTGTATCTTCCCCTCATTGAGTTGTTACCACCAGCTTAACGATTAGTTAAGCAACTAACAATTAAGTCAGTCAGAGTAATTTATCATCACTAAATCAAACAATCAGAACACTCGACCGCCAGTAAACGAACCAATGAGAAAACTAAGGTTAATCATAATCAACTTATGAGAGTGCTCTATCGTCAGTATATCAACAAATCAGAAAAATTCAGAGTGGCATCATAATTTTGTTGAAAACGCCAACGAAACAGTGAGCTCGTGCTAATGTTTGTTTCTAAACGTATCCCATTTATTCTAAATGTTTTCAGGTTTACTCTAGATTTATTTTTAGAAGTCTTTATTTTATCAACTGTAAGACATTCCTAAAAACTTCCTGTGCCTATCAGAATATTAGGACTTAAATTATTTGACATACTCATTTAAATCAAAATTCTTAGTTCGTCCAGGTAACAATAAACAACAAAGGTACAAAAGATAATAACCCCATTATCAGATTATCCTCATGGAGTAGTATATCATGCCTTTACAATGATTTAAGTTTATTTAATGCAATACTGGTTTTCAAGTGAAAACGTTGTTATTTGTATCTAATTGTATTATATCTATATAGAAAAAACACAGAGATAAACCCATATATTGTTAATGACACTGTGGGGTGATTCTTATGTGTTTTTATAACGTGTGAAACTAATTTTTAATTGCAAGTAGTTTTAAAATTGTGCTTTATACAGAATTTCAAGGCTTCTACGTAATCAAACAGTATAGCCGTTTAGACCCAATTCTATTAATGAAACCAAAATTCGCTTATGATCTGTTTTTATATTCTGAGCTGCATAACCTTTTGTTTCTTTTGTTATCATATCTATCAATATGTCGTTAAAAACGAAATGATAACATGTAAAATGTAACCATAAGGTTCAATATCAATATTCAATGAAGAAGCAAGACGAAATTGTAAACTACATGGAGAAGAGGGAAATTGCTTTGTAGTGTGTACTTCACATCATACCCAAGACTGTAATAAGGCAGCGTCATCATTGATACTGTCTAAACTACTCTGGTCTGAGATAGTTTTACTTACAGAAAAGCTGTTTTCAATTTCATCCCAATCAATGTCACTTTCAACATCCATTTCAGCAACTAAAAATGGAACACAACTAAAGCGAAAACCGATTTACAGGTTAGAAACAGAAAACGTGACTCTTCTACCAGAAAACGACGTATTCTACTGACTAGAGTACTGGACTTACATAATTCAGAATAAATCCGGTAAAGATTAGCAGAAACAACATTTCCAATGCCATCTAACAAGCACTGATAACATTGGGAATTAACTTGGGCAAATCACGGAAAGGGTTAAAAAGAAGGTCGAGGATGTTCGATTGAAAAAATAACATGGCTTATTGTAGGTCTCCGCACTTTTTGTAAGGCTTTTTGTTAAGAGCCTGTCATTTGTTTCATTCTATTCAAATATTTTTAAGAAACAAAATATTTATATAACTTACAGTGAATACCGAGAAAAATAAAATAGAATCAGCAACAAAAATGGTAAATAGTCGACAAAGTAAGATGTATTACAAAAATTAAAGTAATGGTAATGAAAACTTTTTGGTCATATTCTTTATGGTAATGAAATGAAAATAGGCTTATGGAAGTTTTACGCATCCTCTACATTAAGTTTAGAAGTGAAAACCTGAGTTTTCAAGTTTCCAGACTTGCTTATTTTGTTCATAACAGTTATTGTAATAACAAAGAAATATGTTAAGATGAATTTCAGCATCTTAAAAAAATGTATTAGTTACTTGAATAAAAAATTTACTTGTCCATCAGTGCTACCACAAATTGTAAATTTCACAGAGTTCACCGGTCTTATTTCCCACATTCTGGTACTTTGAAATGGTCTGAAATATAATTTGGCTATGCATATATAAAAAGCTAGAAAAAATGTAATAATGTTTATACTTATATCATCAAGCTTATTCCCATGAAAGCTTAGTTATGATTAATTTACTATTTACTAAATATAAATTGTACTACTGAAATATCATTTGCAATAAAAGTTTGCTTTGGCTCACATTTAGATGTAACTAAGAATACGAGATGGCTGAGTTTTTAAATAAACTTTTTATCTTCTGTTTTTACAAGAGAAGATATGTAACATTCCTCACCCTGATCATCTATGGGGAATATTGGAATTGACCTGAAGCATGTAGATATTAGTCTCTTGGTGGTAAGTAGCAAACTTTAGAGATTAAAAATAAAAAACCAGAAACAGACAATATTTTCAACAGGGTTTTAAAGGAAATTACGCGAGCCTCTCTCTTTCGTTTTGGTAAGTCAATAGATAGGTGGCAGGTGCCCGAGGACTGCTAATGTTACTTTTATTTTTAAAGGGATGGTGATAAGAGTTTATAGTCCAGTTAGCGCTTACGTCTATAGCACGAACATTTCTATAGAGTCTAATATATAAAAGAAGCTTTAATATCGTTTAGTAAAAATAGGACCTAATGAAAAAAAGGAAAATTTTACCTTTTCTAACCTGTTAACTTTTTGCAAAGATGTTACTTGTTATCTTAACAATGATTAGATATATTTAGATTTTTAAAGAGCTTTTGATAAAACTAGTTAATTAGATTGTGGAATCATTAGACGAAAGACAACCAAAGTTATTATTAATGGAGAACAACCAAACTGCACCCTTATTACTGGCGGAGTGCTTTAGTGGCCACTGTTTATTTAGGCCTTTGTTTTTGACTATTTACATTAGTGTTATTGATAATTGATAATTTAGTGACGTTTTCTCACGACATTAAACTCTTGGGTATTCTTAGCTGTATTGAAGATGCTGAGATACTACAAAGTGACTTGAATCAGTTAGTAAATTGGGCAAATATTTAGCAAATTACCTTTATGACAATTAAGGTCAAGAATTTCGGTTATCTTATCTTTGGACCTCTTGCTAATATAGATATAAACCTACACAATAACATAACTCCAGAAATGGATCTTGGCAAAGTCTGGATAAGGCATTCAAGCCATCAAAGCAATGCACTGTTGCTAGCAATAAAGCTAATAGAATTTTAGGCTGATTTATTGGTATACTAGTTACAAGTAAAAGGAGGTACTTATAGCTATACAGATAACCAGTTAAACATCTCTTTAATACACTGTACAGTTTTGTTATCCTATGTTAAATATTTTATATCCTCTTGAGAAAAGGAAGACTTAAAAGTGATCTTATTCAAGACTATCCATAGTAAAAAAAAGCCTCTGATTTCTTTGTTTTGCATTTTGAAGACAATATAATAAAAGGACACAAATTTAAGATTTGGAAAAGGCAGTCTAGGCTCCAGTTAAGTGGACACTTTTATTTTTCTAACAGGGTGAGTAACTTATAGAATGAGTTGCCATTGGCAATAGCGTAGACCGCACTTTACAAGAGAGTAAAAGGGGGAATCGATGTTTCCTGAAAAATAAAGAATAGGTTTAAATTTTTATTTTGCTCAAAGATGAGTGTGAAAAGAGAGGCTTGTAGGATAAATGGTACATCATGCTAGCTTTGTCCTAGTAGAAAAGAATAATCCACAGTTAAAATTCCAATTGTACTTGAAAAGGTCTTGAATTAGACAAATCTGCTGCCTGAAAATTGCAGCCTTGTGATTTCCGTATAAAATTCCAGAGATGTTAACCATCTTGTAATACAATGTACAGTTTTGGTCTCCTTAGTTAAATATTTTATATATATCTTCATAAATATAATAGTACTGTCTGTTGTATGTCCATGTAACTACTTCGCAGAATGGGGATGGAGCTTCACCCAAATTGATATGCAGGCTCATTAGGGGTTTCAGTTTTGCATTTTGCGATTTTTATGGGCGTTATTTCGTTTTTTACCACTGCTTCGCTAGCTGTTGATGGATCTTCACCAAATCTGGCATGAAGGTTTGTTCGGTCCATGCAGAGATACAGGCAAAATTGTGGTTTCACATTTTGTGTTTTGCAGTTTTTTATGTGCGTTTTTGCGATATTTTACAATTACATATAAGGGAAGCAACTTTTCATGTCCTAAGATAACCTTTCATTAATCATGAATTTACATAACTTCCAGCTAGTATTTTAATATACTACAAATCAAAAATAAATATTTTATAATCTAATATTAACATAATTTAAACAATGCATGTAACAAGGTATTCTTTGGGTAATGTTATATCACGTTTAACTAATATTAGCATAAGTTAAACAATGTATGTAACAAGGTATTCTTAGGGTAATGTTATATCACGTTTAACTAATATTAGCATAAGTTAAACAATGTATGTAACAAGGTATTCTTAGGGTAATGTTATATCACGATTAACTAATATTAGCATAAGTTAAACAATGTATGTAACAAGGTATTCTTAGGGTAATGTTATATCACGTTTAACTAATATTAGCATAAGTTAAACAATGTATGTAATAATTTTTTGGGTTGATATTTTGAACAGTCTTTGTTACTTAATGAATACAAACTTTGTCAGCTGAAATATTATACATATTTCTTAGAAGACTTATTTTAAGCTAATATTAACAAGTTAAACTTCACAATCTAGTGGCTTAGCGGTAAGTATGCAGGCTTAAGACGCTAAAAATTGGATTTCGATACCCATGGTGAACAGAGCACAAATAGACCATTCTTTAGCTTTGTGCTAAACAACAAACAGGCCAAATCCAGGCTACAAAAAAATGATTCACAGCAAGGAATAATGCTCAAAATCTTCACAACATTTTGATTGACTTACTAACAAAATTCTGAAGTCTAAGATTCAACATTTTTTCTTATTACGAAAAAATGTCAACCATTTTCACGTCAAAACAACCGAATTACTGCGTTAATATTACCTGAAAGGGCCGCAATGCCAAGAAGGTTCGAGCCAAACTATTGCAAATCCCACAGGAAGGGTGCAAAGAAAGAGCATAATGAGAAGCAATGCGAAGTAGAAGTTGTTCGACCCTGATGCCTTGAAGACTGTTTCATGAGGAATGTTACAGGTTAGGACAGCCCAGCTTCGCACATATAGCAGGATACAAAGTTTCACAGTGTTGAGAGCAGGCAGGCCAGGGCTGAAGAACATTCCCATCCTAGAGTAGTTGGAAATAAATGTTTACAACATTTATAATCAAAGTAAAGCTATCCTCTCTAAACCAAGTATTAATACTCATAATTCAGCATATTAAACATTTAAGTCGGGTCTAGTAATAAGACTTTTTCAGATTTTGTTATTTTCTTTTGTATGTAGTGAGAGATGTTTTTACAAATTTATATATAACTTCCCATTATGCATCAAAATAATGATTTCATAGCCGGCTCAAAACTGCAGATATCAACTATCACAAGTTCGAAGACAGGGACGGCACCTAGTGAAGCTTTATATCAACTATCACAAGTTCGAAGACAGGGACGGCACCTAGTGAAGCTTTATAAAAAAAAAACTTTAGGAATGGAATTAGATTTTTTTGGCGGTTTTGATCTAGATGCATATACATTTGTATTGACTTTTTATTTTTCGCACAGTGAAAAATAGCATATAGTATTTAAAACAAGTTACAAATCATTTGTACTGTGGATCATGTTTTGTTTTGTAATTAATGAAATATTTCAATACATTGAAAACAGTTTACACCTAATCTACTTTCTCAGCTTTTCCTCTATTTCTTCATTTCGTGATGCTTTAATTGAACTGACATACCACATATCAGTGGTCTTTCTTCAGTTGTTTATATCTTTATTATAACCAACAGTGATGAATTTCGTTGTTGTTTTGTTTTTGGTTTCCCGAGTTGGCGCATAATGTAAGCAAGGTTGTTTACAAGGCCCTGGAAACAGCATACTGTAAAGTAGATTCGAAAGAATTAACATAGACATGATTCTTGTTATCCAGGAGGTAACTCCCAAAATCATCTTGTCATTGTATCAGAAAACTTCTTGTTTAGCAAACATGATTCTTGTTATCCAGGAGGTAACTCCCAAAATCATCTTGTCATTGTATCAGAAAACTTCTTGTTTAGCAAACATGATTCTTGTTATCCAGGACGTAACTCCCAAAATCATCTTGTCATTGTATCAGAAAACTTCTTGTTTAGCAAAAAGAGTAGCTGAACAGAAGCAAATTATTTAACACGGGTATTGTAATGGTACATTGTGATAATCAAATGTTATGAAATAACCAGCAGTAAAGAAATATATAAAAAAAATACTTACCATATCATTCCTTGGTTGTTGACTAGATGTAGAATATTTTCAGCTATTTTGAAGTCTCCATATCCTGGCTAAGTTTAATAAATACAACGTAAGTAAATTGATAATGTTTGGAAAACTATTTAGGTACCACAGATAAACAGCAGAAAAGTTGAAATAGAAACCAACTGATAATTAACCTTATAATTATAATTTGGGTTCATGTGGACTTCCATCCAAGTTTTACACATTTTTCTAAAAAAAGTTTTCATATATCAAGTTTCTTGTGGTTCCATGTCTTTGTTGATAACAAGGTCTATAATAACAAATGAATCGCACACAAAATTTAACTAAAGTACCGTCAATATTGCAATTATTCACACTGAATGAAACCACTAACTTTATATAACTGGTTATATATAACTTTATATAACAGAAAACGACTGGTTTCATCCATTTTTATTGGTCATTTCTTTATACTAAATGAGCCAAAAACATAAAATTACTTTTTATGATTCCATAGAGGATCCCCATGAACCATATAAAAACAAGTCGATAATTAGAGAGTTAACAAAGAAACAAACAAACATGAATTTAGCTATATGCGTTTACTGTTGTGGCAGTATAAAACTCTCTAGAATAAATTTAGTAAAATACTTTTTTATATAATTTGGTATTACTGTTTATTTTACTAATAAGTGCAAGCAGACAGGTAACTGTCTGGGACAAAACGCGAACAACAGACGCCGACTGGATGTCGGAAATGAAAACTTAACATCTAAGTAAGAATTCAAATATTCAGATACATTTGCTTTTCTTCTAGTGTCCTTTGTAAAATCTATGTGGCGCTTTTATGGTTTGTTTACGTTTCATTCTATGATTAAAGTTGGCTTCAATTTTGGCTTTGATTAAGAGTTGCATTTTGTTTTTCAGTTGGATTCGTTTGCTTTCAGTTTGATTGAGCGTATTTAGTTATAAATTAAATCATAAAAAGTTTGAGTTTGTTTAATTGAACTGCTGGTTATTGATTTGTTCTATTCTGGTTGTTTCACATTGTTTTCAAAGTTGTTATAGTTTTTAGTGGATTTTACTTGAGTTTATATCTTTGTCTGTACTTATTCTCATTTAAGTCAAATATGAATTTAATATATTTTTTCAATTTTATTAGCTATATATTGAGCTAATTGGGAATTCATTCGTTTGTTTTTTAATAACATATGCAGTTTTTGTTAAATATTTTTATAGAATACTTTATTCACATATTCCACACTCGCTGTTTTCTTCAACAATTTCACTTGCTTTTGCAAGTATTGAACCTGTTTTATTTTGTAAATATCTCAATGTTATTTAATTCTCTTTAGTTACAATTTAATGAAGAGTTTCATTAACCCTAATTATTTTGAAAAGTTTTAAGTAATAGTGAAAAATCATTTTATAAACCTTGAGAGGACTTAACAATGAACCACTTACTCCTATGTTTTATATTTAAAAACTAAGAAATCCAAAATCAAAATTCTGTAGAGCTTTTGGTTGTCAAACATAATTATATATAGAAAACTTTTAAAAATCTCCTTACAAATTTCTTTTCTAAGTCCCAGCACCAGCACTTATTAGCGTAGCGTACAAAAACAGCTCGTATGAAATCCATCAAAATTATATTGATTATCGTCATAACTAAGTCCATCACGGTCAACTTTACCAATTCCTGAAACAAAAAAAAATAAACATAAGGTAACTTATTAGATTTAATTGTGAAAATGAAACAGCTAAATAATAAAGGGGAATGATAATTTTCACAGCCACATCAAAAATCATGATTTTTTATTCAGGAAAGTGTGAACGTGTAGATGTTTTTTTCAAAAACTGCCACAGAAGGTGTTCAGGTGTTTTTCATCATTCTCAATTAGCATAAAACCTATTCCTGAATGAAGCTGCAACAAGCATTTTCTGCTCTGGACAGTGTTCGTTGATTCTCCTAAACTGACAAGAACTTTATTCAGATTACCAAAGCATGAAGAGAAGTAACAGCAATGCTAGTTTGCTAGAAGAATGATTAGGTATGTGTTTAATATGGTTCTGAAGAGAAGTAACAGCAATGCTAGTTTGCTAGAAGAATGATTAGGTACGTGTTTAATATGGTTCTGAAGAGAAGTAACAGCAATGCTAGTTTGCTAGAAGAATGATTAGGTACGTGTTTAATATGGTTCTGAAGAGAAGTAACAGCAATGCTAGTTTGCTAGAAGAATGATTAGGTACGTGTTTAATATGGTTATGAAACATACGTTTCTTGAAAAAGATTCTCAGTGCACCTCCGGTGAAATTGTTCCTTTAAGGAAAGATATTTTTAAATGTGGGAATTCCTTATAAGATAATTTTAAATACTGGGACTCTCTTAAAAGACAATTTTAAATATGGGGTTCCCTATAAGATATATCATTTTTTAATATGGGGATTTCTTATAACCATCGTGTATATAGTACTGTGTGTTTAGCGTTACTTCAAACATGAGTTTTAGTGGCTATAGTTCTTACAAAGCCACTGACTAAGGCAAAAACACTGTTTGGAAAATAATGTCCTGAGGATACTTAAATTACAATCAAATTACAAAGTTAAGAGAAAACAACTAACAGACATTACCCACTTGCAAAATATGCTCGCATTTCAGTTACTTATTCTCAGAAACTTGTGCTTCACAGTAAATGCATAAACTGTTCTCATACCTGTCCAAACATGGTTTCCCAACATAATTTTCTAAGTTGTTCTCTGGTAGATTCGTCACTTTGAAGAATAAGTTCAACGATATTTTCCTCATCACTACATTTATCACCTACACATTCATCAGGGAATGTTGACACTTCATTCATAATCGTCGACTCTTCAGTACTGTCAGACATACATTCCACACCATCACAGCTTGATAAGGTAGAGACATTACCAGTTCCAGTGTCTGTTATAAATGACTGTGTTGTAGAGTCTTCAGCTACAGTATAGGATGCTGTTGGAGCTTTACTGATTGTCGTTACTAAAAGGTCTTTTTCAATGGACGACGTCGATGGTGTTAAAATGTTATTTTCTGACGCTTTTTCAAATTCTCCCGCACATTTTGATATAGAAACTATGCACTTTTGAATGGACTCATTCGTGCCATCATCCAGTTCTCGGCGATTATTAGCTAACCAATTCCATAATGTTTTATTTAAGAATAACAAATGAGAATGTTTATACGAATTATTCAAATTGTTGAAAGATGCCTCAAAAATTTTGTTTAGGGCATTATAGTCAAAAAACGAGTTCTCATCATCAACAGTTAATTGGGTTGGTCTTGATGATCCCCATTCATTACTGTTACCCCAAGTGGCATTTGAATCTGGTACATTACTGTAGTTCCAAAAAGTTAACCATTCAGAACTCTCGTTATTACTTTTGATACTGAACGAATTGTGAAAACTGTCATTGTTGTTCCAAGTATCATCACTGAAAGAGTTTTGACCTTTAGCTTCCCCCCTTTGCCGTATAAAAATACGTTTATTTATTAGACTTGGTTTGTTCTCACTCGTTGAATTTTGTATCCAAGACAAAAGAAGAGTTGTACAATTCATTACCATTGCCAAGTCACAACCAACCGTTTTAGATTGAACGTCCTCATCTTCTGGATCCAATAACTTTAGACTTAAGCTGATGATTGTCTGGAAAGGCTCAAGTGCTGTAGTATTTAAAGTTGGGTAATACACGATTGGTGTGAATACTGTCGGGAAGGTGGTCCTCTGCTCTATCATTGCACTGATGTTTGCCTTCAACTCGAATAATGCAGTTGTCTGTGAAAATTTTAGATGTCAAATCAATTCAGATATTTCTAACACAAGTTCATTTTTGTATTCTACATATGAAATATTAACCCAGAAAACTTGTAATTGATATGTGGAACCAATATTAGTCTAGTCTAAAGTAAGTTTATTTCTGTCACCTACTAATACTTGTCCTCCCTGTTTTTTTCTATTTTACATTTATTATGCTCTGAAAGATAATTATTCTACTATAACATATTATATCTATACACACTTACTTAACCAAATGTCATTAGTTTTCTTTCAGTGTTGAAAAATATGATATGAAAGCGCCATCTGCATTTATATTTCCTCCTTACAACCACCACAATTTCTAAGATTTTTAAACGTTTTATCTAACTAAAATAACCCATGACTGTGACGGTTGCCTTTTAAACACTTATATTTATATATACGAAAACGTTTGCTCCACCAAGTTCTGTTATAATAATTGGTTTCTTTAATGTTCATAAATTTCTTACTTGGCATTTTAAAACTGAGCGGCACCTTATGTGATGCATGAGCTATATGGCTAGATCAATAACCACTATGTTCAAGCATGGTCATCCGTGATTTTAAAATGTTGACCAGAAGGAAGGCAACAAATCAGCAGCAAACACTGCACATGCATTTTCCATACAAGTCTGTTCAACAGAATATCACTGCTTGAACTTTCACGATAACCTCTATAGCAAAACCGACTCAACATTTATTAAAAGTGAACTATGAAACCGAGAAACATGATAAAAAATAATTACTAGAAAAATATACTTAATTTAACTGATTAACGACTATTACTTGTTTAAGTATGAAACGACTACACACTTAATTTCCATTTTCTGCATTTTCTACATACAACATGTTTTTGTTATATAACTGTTCTGGCTTTTACTTTCCAACTGACGTTTGATAAACTTGGTATCTTAAAGAAGTAAAACAAATTACAGTGAAAAATTTGTAGCCAGAATAAAAGATATAACAACTTTTAAACTTATAGATAAATCTGCCATAAAGTATAAACGTCCGAAATAAACAAAATCTTATTTTCATATTAACAAAGATTATGATTAGTTATTTAGTTAGTGTTAAAAGAAGTTGAAATAAAGCACTATAAAACATTTTCAGTGCTTAGAAGGTAATTCGAAAATAAGTTCAAATGATTTTAAATTGTTTTGTTGTAGAATAAGGAACGATAAAAGCTAATATGAACTTCCAAAGGTAAAAAAAAATTCAAAAGTTATTTAAAAAATATTAGAAAAAAGATGAGTATATAAGCCTACAAGATATTTGATTATATCATTAGTAACCTTTACGAAAATTTTTATAAACATTTATTAATTATTCTATGGTGAAGTATCACATACATTAGTGGTTGTAATAATGACATACACGAGAGATGCGAAAAAAATGAAATTTTTGTGTGTTAATAAAAATGATTAAAGTCATGCTTGACTACAGATGTTTTCTTTTCCTTCTTCACTTAATTAGTCTTGGTTTTATTGAATGCATTATTAAAAACAGAGGAGTGTTATTACAAACAGCCATGTAATCATTATTAAAAAAAGGCACTTAAAGGTATATCACAAAAATTAGATTAATGCCTCTACAAAGCAACTTGAATACTTATCTTGGTATGCGATATTTAGTTACTTTAATTCTCAATTAAGGTTTGTCCTAAGATTTCTAAACATAAAAGGAACATTATAATCTTCTATAGGGATTTAGGGGCTTCTAGAGTTACTCCCGTTTCATTTTATCCATTTTCTTACCATTGTGTCCACTTTACCAAACAGAGCCAGAATGAGAGTGTACAGATTCAACAAGTACAGCATCAGGATTCTACAAAAATAGACACCATTTACTTTAAAATATACGTACGTTTAAAAAAAAATTAGTTATTTAATTGCACTTCTAGGAAAACGAACAAGCCAGATGTGAAATAAGTCTATGTATAAATGATTTGTTTGTTTGTCTCTGACGTTCGTGCAAAGCTACGCAAGAACTATCTGCGGTAGTCATCCTCATGTTGAATCGATATAGTAGAAGGAATGGCATTCGACTCATAATCGGTGGATCGCAGGTTCGAATCCCGTCACTTTTTCGTCCTTTCAGTCTTGGGGGCGTTATAGTGTGAAGATCATTACCACTTTTCCTTTGTAAAAGAGTGGCTTAAGAGTTGGATAGTGTTAACTACCTACCTTCCTTATAGTATATTACTCCTAGATTAGAGACGGTTAATGCAGATAGCCCTCGAGTAGCTTTGCGTGAAATTCAATAAAACAAATAAACAGGCCGAATTAAGGACAGTTAGTCAACAGCACTCGCCGCCAATTCTTGAGTTACTCTAATCGAATAGTGGGATTTGACCGTCACCCAAAATACGATGACGTTTTGGGGCAACAAACCAAGAACGCCTGGGTTTACAGGTTACAGCCTGTCCATTTAAATGTTATATGTTTACATAAATGTTATATTCTAAAAATAGCAATGTAATGACTACAAAAAAGGGGGAATCCTCAATAGCCGCGGCACTTGAAATTATTTTAGGCGGGATTAGAGTAAATTAATGTACGAGACTTTTGATTTCTTTTTTTATTAGCTATATTTTTGTGCGCCAGCAATACCAAGAGCGAGGAGAGCGTATACCAGATTTGATTTTATTACTCATTAGGATCTCTACCAGCTTATCCTCAAATTGAAATTATTTTAGGCGGGATTAGAGTAAATTAATGTACGAGACTTTTGTTTTATTTTTTATTAGCTATATTTTTGTGCGCCAGCAATACCAAGAGTGAGGCGCAGGTATACCAGATTTGATTTTATTACTCATTAGGATCTCTACCAGCTTATCCTCAAATTGAAATTATTTTAGGCGGGATTAGAGTAAATTAATTTACGAGCCCTTAGTCAAGTACATCAAACGAAAGGGGTTTGACATCTTGTGTCCAAAAACTGTAATTAAAGGTCAAATCGGTCAAGATATGACGGAGTTATGAGCTAAAAGTTTGTACTCGGATTCAGTAACTGGCTTTGCTCATGAAACTTAATCAAACAATAGAAGCTTCACTTCTACGTGTTGTTTTACGAAGATAAGCGTGTATAAGGATCTCTCAAAAACAGTGATACTTAATTGCAATCAATTGGTTTGAAGTTCGCGCAAAGCTACACGAGGGCTATCTGCACTAGCCGTCCCTAATTTAGCAGTGAAAGACTAGAGTGAAGGCAGCTAGTCATCACCACCCACCGCCAAGTCTTGGGCTATTCTTTTACCAACGAATAGTGGGATCGACCGTCACATTATAACGCCACCACTGCTGAAACACCTTACTAAAACATTGATCAACGCAACTAGTTGCTGTGGCAACATGCATTTGTAGATTTTATTAAATATAGTAGTTAAAGTAAATATTGCAATCTATCGACATTTTCACAGCATACTTTTGTTTTTCTGAAAAACTGATGCGAGTGAAAAATTACCCATTTTCAATCAATTATTTCAATCAAAATGTTGCATACACAAATAATTGAAATTGTGCAACTAGGTTTAAATATGTTGTGTATTCTCAGGAGGTGAATATAACTCGTTGAAAGTTTCCTGTAAAAATATATGTTGAAAAAACATTAGACTTCTTACGTACCAAAGTTCATCAGGCAGCTACCAAACGCAAGCGTCCTAAACTAAGAGAAAAAACAATAACAGTTAAATGCCTTATTTTACCTGTAATGTTACATATAAACAGATTTTATTCAACTGGTCTTAATGAAGAGCTTCTCAGTAGACAAAACTGTATACTATTTACGTTTTGAAAAACATGTGCATCACTTATAACACACTCCCAGCAACTATCGAAGTAATCACGAATTAATAATGTATGTATCTTTACCACTGAAAAGAAAATATTTTTTTATCGTCGCCCGGTGGGTCAGTGGTAAGTTTATAGACTCAAAACAGAAGAATCCGGGGTTCAATTCCCCGCCGTAGACAAAGCGCAGATAGCTAATTGTGTAGCTTTGAGCTAAAAATAACAACAATCATTTTTTTGGTTCTGTTAGCAAATTATGGGTGACATTATTTTAAGTTACCATTCATAGCCGTTATAAACTGTTTCTTCGTGATGCCCGTGAATAGGACCTTGAAAATCATCCTAAGAAGTAATTTTTTTTATGTGCTTATTTCTTCAGAAACAAAAGTAAATATAGATGCACTTAGACGACTTACCGGGCAAGTTGCCATCGAAGCTGTACACGAGGATGGTATTGTTCCAACATACCAATCACTTCAAACAAGTTTGGATATATAATGGAAATGAAGGAAACGACGCAGGTCACCTGTAATTCAGAAACCTTGTACAGCACGATTGTACCAAAAATTCGTTTCATTAATTTCATCTGTTTGTTCTGTTTTATTCAGTGTTATATACTTCAGAGTAGAAGAAAGGAAGAAATACATTTGATTACTAGTCTCAGAATTTTATATAGCTAATCGTTCCACGCACACGATTTCAAAACACATTGTAAAGATTTCCTAACGGATAAACCTTTAAAGTTTGATAGGTAGATAAATAGATTATCATTCAGAGCTTAAAACACGAATTGTAGTTGTTTATAAAATCAGATAATGATTACTACGAATACAAGAACAGGGGCGAATTATTTTATTAAACCATTAACTAAATGAAATCCATATAGATATTAATAAAATCATATTCTATTGTTGACAGTTTAATTATTAATAAAATCATATTATATTGTTGACAGTTTAATTATTAATAAAATCATATTATATTGTTAACAGTTTAATTATTAATAAAATCATATTATATTGTTAACAGTTTAATTATTAATAAAATCATAATATATTGTTGACAGTTTAATTATTAATAAAATCATATTCTATTGTTGACAGTTTAATTATTAATAAAATCATATTCTATTGTTGACAGTTTAATTATTAATAAAATCATATTCTATTGTTGACAGTTTAATTATTAATAAAATCATATTATATTGTTAACAGTTTAATTTTAACATTATATGTCGTAAGACAAATGTTTGTGTAAGAATTTAAGTTACAAGATAGTTCATTCTCCGTTTGATGTTGTCATGAGAACCGTATTATATTACGGTGTCATTTCCTTCCCAGTTATTATACAGGTTCTGTATTAAAATTTCAGCAAACACCTTTATGCTGTGTATACAATGTTAAGATTTTTTTTTCTGTTGAGTATCGTAAATTTTGATACAGTTCTCTTGACTTTTACTACAACAGGTTATATATAGCAAGTGATTTTTCTCTTCAGTGTAACATGTCATCGTGACTGATTTTTCTCTTCAGTGTAATATGTTAAAGTAACTATTTGCTATATTGAGAACTATATGCTAATTAATGACTAGATATACCAAATGTCTTTACTATCATTAACCGGCATAACACAAAATTAACTAGCTACACAATATATGTCGTACGTTATAACGAATTCATTATACCGGCAAATATATGTAAAATGAAATAAACATTGTTTGGAATAATTTCAAAATGAAAAATACTAATTGCAAGTATTAACTTTAAGAAATAACATTTAAACTTTGAAATTCTGATTAAACCACACAGTAATTAATTTTCTCAGTACATTTAATCATTTTATAATTAAGATTGCTTTCCACTGGTGGTTCGTGTGTGTTAAAGTTGGATGGATGAATGATCCTTTTGATTAATAATTTATCATGTTTTGCTCCACATTGTGTGGTATTTTAATTTCTTATTTAACATTTAAATGTTCCTATTTTTTACGTCATAATTTATTCTATTTTAGATATAGTTTTCTCATTGAGAAGGTTCTAGCCATCGAATATATATGTCATGGTTACCCGTACAATGACCTAAGTCTACTTATTAATTACATTTATTATTACTCGTGAATGTATAGACTAATATACTGGAGAAACAATAAGACCAACAAAAATTAGAATTCAAGAACGTAATAGACATAAACGACTAATAGCGATCTGTCTGTAATAACCCACAATGGCGGAGACTTTACAATAAGCTGGAACATTATTAAAATAATGGGACGTGAACCGCATACGAGAAAAATAATTATAAAAGAAGCCTTCTACATCTACTTAACTGATTATATTAGCATAGATGTCAGCAAAACCTGGTTACCCCTCTTGAAACCATCACTAAAACCAGTTAGATTGAATCCTATTCAGTCCTTATCAGAACTTCCTGAAGACGGCAGCAGATTACTAGCCGAAACTTAGAATATAAAGTAATTAGAGTTAGCATCTATTAATAACAAACTAATAATTATACTTAGATTATTGTAAAGTATGCTAACGTCACGTGAAATATGGATTCACTGGTTCACTTTTACTGTCACATGCTAAGAATTATATTGTATTTTAGCAGTTTAAGTAGTTATATTAATTATTAATGTGTATTTTATATCACATACTGGTGTACGTTAGCAGTTTTTGTGTATGTTAATTATCACAGTGGAGTTTAGCACTTTTTTTATTGTATTTTACATCATTGTGTATTTCAGTACGTAAAGTTTCACTGCGAGTCTTAGCAGTTTGTTGTATTTTACTGACCACTTGTAGGTTTAATATCTGATGTTAAAACTTACAATCTAAGGTAACAGTTTTATGTTCGCAGGATATCGTTTTTAATATAATAAAGATTATGTTATACAATTTTGGAGTCAATTGTTAATATCTGAGAGGACAAAGAACACAAACTCAGAGTTGGCTCTTACTTCATTTTGCCTCCACCAACTCGACTCGGCCTCTGGTTCTTGAGATCGCTTGACAACCAACACGACGGCATAAGCACTGGATGCCAGAAGAATGATGACCATGAAGTTCGCTATGATTCGCAAGATAATGACCTTCCAACTAATATACAATAAAATAACTTCGTATAAGAATGGACAAGTAGACTAACTTGCCGGCTACTGAAGAAAGTAGAATATTTTTCTTAAAACTGCTGGTTAAACATATTCGTTTAACTAAAACTTCAGTATCAAAGTTATTTGTACGCTCTAAGAAGCGCGTGCGAATTAAATTTTAAACTATATATCGTATAATTTTAAGGTTCCAAAACGTTTAGCTAACTTCTCAAATTATGTTTCTTATCTAACATTTGAGGGTTTTTACACTAAAATTCGAGGTCCGATCCGTACGTTGGCCAGAGCTCGGATAGCCCATTGTACAGTTTTATGCTTAAACAAACAAAATTTCCAGTGAGAAGTCTTTTTGTTATTATAACCTTTGCAGGTCTCATTTTAAGTACTTATTTGACATCTTACAGTATTTGAAAATAAAATAAAAAAATAATATTTAAACCTTTACCTTTCGAACAAAAGTATAAAAATAACTTTAATTACAACCTATCGAACGGAACATAAATAATACCAGACTTCAATAAAAAAAAATCTATGCTAATTAATTCTATTTACAAGAAACGTCAGAAAATACAAGTGCATCCTCTTCTTTAATAACCATTAAAAAACCCCCATTGTACGTTCCTTCAAGACCAATGTTTGTAGAACACTCCAGCTAGATCTGACATTCACACCTTCTTAGCGATATAAGCTTCAACTTGAAGTTTCAGCTGATCACGGTATGTTTCTTTCTTGTTGTTTTGTGTATGTGTTTTGTTTGTTTGTTTGTTTTTGAAATTCGCGCAAAGCTTCACGAGAGGTATCTGCGATAACCGTCCCTAATTTAGCAGTGTAAGACTAGAGGGAAGGCAGCTAGTCATCACCACCCACCGCCAACTCTTGGGCTACTCCTTTACCAACGAATAGTGGGACTGACCGAACATTATGACGCTCCCACGGCTGAAAGGGCGAGCATGTTTGGTGGGACAGGGATTCGAACTCACGACCCTCAGATTGCGATTCGAGTGCCCTAACCACCTGGCCATGCCGGCCTTTGTGTGTGTTTTACTTGATGTTAGTTGGTTGATCTCTCAAAAACAGTGATACTTAATTGCAATCAATTGGCTTGAAGTTCGCGCAAAGCTACACGAGGGCTATCTGCGCTAGCCGTCCCTAATTTAGCAGTGTAAGACTAGAGGGAAGGCAGCTAGTCATCATCACCCACCGCCAACTCTTTGGCTGCTCTTTTACCAACGAATAGTGGGACTGACCGTCACATTATAACGCCCCCACGGCTGAAAGGACGAGATGGAATGGGAAACAATAACTTCCGAGCCTCGGGGTAAGATATGTTATGGACAATACATAAATGCTGTACCTCTTTCTCCTCCACCCATTTAGGGCAAGAACGATAGTAAGAAGGGTGGGAACCACCCCAATTGACGCAGTGAAGGTCCAGTTGATACTTATAGGCATCATGGTCTTTGTCACTACAACGACCACACAAAGAACCACGACAAGATGCCATCGAATGTCCGAACTGCTGACACTAGAAACATCCGAGAGGATTAGGAATGTATAGCCATACCTTGCAGTTCAGATAGCTTCCTTGACGGAGGCAGGTGGACATGGCAATGTAAACGTCAATACAAAGATATATGCCAGCAGCATAATTTCATTCTTGCGAATGGAGATGCAGCACACAGCAGAAACGCCTTGACTGAAGAAACCAGCGAATATCTCCGATTCGGGGATGTTCTTCAAATCCCTCTCAATGATCACTCTTCAAGAGGAATTCAAAGTAGCATATGGAGTAACCTCAATGGATATATCCCCAATGGTTTTCTACCTCAGAAGGATTTCGCTATGTATAGATGTTTCCACCAAAATGTCTCCAGCGTGCAGCTTCTTTACCAACTTGGGTGAACCAGCAAGTCCTCTAATCCCTTTTGAATGAAAAAGGGAGACATTTGTCCTAAGGATTTTTCAGATAAAAAATGAAGAATTAGAATTCGTGGAATAGGTTCTGACTGTGGTGGCGATTGCGTAACAGAGTCGTCTATGTGTGGTCGTTTTTTTTTTACTGTTTTATTTTTTGGAGGATTGGGGTCTCCATAATAAATAGAGGATGATTCAGTGCCCATTGACCCAACCCACCATGAAGTCCTTCGAGGGGACGTACTACAATGCCAAACAAAGACATTGCAGCAACGCCAGGGTATCGTGAGCATTATACTAAAACGCCAGCATGAGACATAATGCCCACAACACCCGTTGAGAACGCCCAACGCTGGTACTCAATTGACCCTAGCCCAACAGGATCAGCCGATTGACCCTGGAGGCCACCCGTCTACAGTAAATCAATGCTAAAGTGGTCTGTTGCAGTGCCCCAGGATCCTCCCCTCCCCGAGTCGCCATGCACGGCAAACACTTAGGTGGATGTTCAGATCCCAATAGGTAAACTGAAAATACAGAACCTTCCCTGGGAGGTCCGCTCACCACGTACAGGAATCCACCTCGAGGGGTACTTGATGTTAGTCTTATATATTTCTAACTACAGTGTAGAAGATCAAAAAGAAGGACATGAATGATCAAGCTAGTGGAAAGCAGAACAGTACCAACAGCTTTTTTCGGAGTAAAAAAGAAAGTGAATAAACGCTATCACCGTAGTGTTAACGGGAAAATATTCGATAACTTATGTTGTTAATACATACCTAACTAATTATCAGAAAAACATTTTTTTTTCTATTACCAACGTTTCCCTGTCGGACTTATGAAGAGTTTCAATTCATATTTTATTTTAGGCCATGTAACATGGTGAAGTTAAATGCTTGGTAAGGCTCGCGCAGCGAATCGTTCGTAATAAATATTTTATCTGGTACTTATTGACAATTTAAGTATATAAAAAAAATTATACTGATATCTTTTTATGGAAAATGCCAAGTGTAATAAGTTAACTGATTTTTCACTTCAGTGTAACGTATTAAAGTAAATAGTTTTTCTCTTCAGTTTTAAACATGTTATAGTAACTGAGCTTCTTGCGCTATACACAAATAACATTTAGGATAGACATTTGGAGGCCATAGGCCTAAACCAGACGATGAATTATGGTTAACAAAATTCAAACTAACAAAGTAGATGCAAAATGCTATTTTTCCACAACTTCGATTTTAAATCAGTAATAGGCTCATTAACACGAGTGTGTTAACAAAAGTTGCATTACAAATATTAGGCCTAGACATTTATATTAAGTTTCCCCACCAACAGTTTCGATACCCCTTTGTAATAGTGTCATCATCTAATGTCAAATTAACCCGGCGAAACGTCGAGTGCGCTTGTAACATTTAGAATTAAGTTTCATGATTTTTTAAAATAACTTATTATTCAGCTAACCTATTTTTATCAGAATTTTAAAGTTATTGATACACATGGGAGTAAAATACAGTCTCTCATAAGTAACTTAACAATGAAATATTGTGCACTTACTTCCGCTCTTCCTTCTTCTTTTCATTTTCTTCCAAAATTGCTTCCTAAAATGGCCAAGATTTAAATACATAAATAATACGTGACAAAATAGAATATACTATGAGGACCACTAAATAATTAAACAATAACATTAAATATTAGATATATCAATATTGGCTATCGGTGTATTGTTGTTGTTTTTTCTTGAGGCAAAGCTACACAGTGGACTACCTGCACTCTGTTCACAGCAGGTAATCGAACCCTGGATTTTACCATTACAATTCCGTAAACTTATCCCTGTCCCACCAGAAGACCTTATTAGAGCAAATGTATTTGTTTGCTTGTTTCAGAACTTTCACGCAGGGCTTCATAAAGCCATTTCTAAGTTTAAACTGATAGACTAGAAGGAAAAACACCCACCGCCAATTCTTGGGCTATTCTTGTCTGACCAAATAGTGGGATTTAACTATCATTCCTGTAGCGCACACACGGTACGAAAATTCGGAGCGCTTTTACGAGGCAAAGGGCGGCGAATCCTGAACCCTCAGATTCGAAGACCGAGTACGTTAAACACTGGGCAACACCCAGCTATGTTATGAATATATTAGTTTTATTTACGCAATACTTTATTTCTACGAAGGCAAAATTACTACAAAATGCGTAACAAGGATACTTACTGATCCAAGTGTATATTAAAGGCTAAAGGCACTATTTTAAGTTAGCTTTTTACTTGATATTATTTCATTACGCTACTAAGTTTAAATGTAAAGTGTTTAGAGTGTGTCAAACTTCTAATCTTATACAGATCATACACAAAGCATATACCGTTTGACTACAAAACAAAACACGAATTTGAACACCTATCTCAGCGGTTACGAAGTCAAGCTGCCGATGTCTAAAAAATTACTTAAACATGGATATGTTAACTTTTTGTTACAATAAAGTTTCAGAGAAAGCATTTCTGTTTAGCGGTATGTCCTTTCAAATGCTGCAATCAATAGAAGATTTTTTTAAAAGGGAAATTTTAGAGAACATTTCTGTTTGGCGGTATTTCCTGTACAAACTGTGTTCTATAAAAAAAAACTTCAATGAATCGAATGGCTTAGCAGTCACTGCTTTTTCAACTGTTGTAAAATTATAAGAAGCTTTAGGCTGATTCTATTATTAATATTATAATTACAGCTTCACTCCATAGGTGTTCAAATCATTAACTCTACCCATTTTACAATGGTATCATATTGCATGCGTGGTATCTAGCGGGTCTCTGGGAGATTCGAAATTATAGGAACTGTCTTTAATAACTGCATTATTTTCTTTTTTTAGTATGGAATAGAATTTTATAAGTTACTGTTTAATATAAAACAATATATATACACACGCGTGTGTATGTGTAGTCTCGATATAGCATATACTTTTGATTGTGTGTCATTTAGAAAAATTTTAAATTTTACGAAGTACTAAATATATATACACCAGAAACTTGTACGAAAACGATTTTTACCCCTAACACATGTATGGTAGAGATGGCTTTACACACTTGTTTATATTCTTTAACATCTAACACCTTAAGCACGCTAGTAGTCATGCCAATGTTTTTACTGTGGCATGAACCCAACAACACAGCCGTTATCTTACTTGTCCTATGTAAGCGATCACAGAGTATACACGACAAATTCTTAACTTTTACTGAACTGCAGATTGTTGACATTCTTCTACCACATCAGTTTTACTTATGTTTTGTTATCAGTTCTAGCATAGCGTTCACTTTATAGCCTGCCAATCCATGCCGAAAAACTATTTTTCCAGGCAAGCATTCAGTTGAATGTTGGAAGCCTTGGAAACATTTCTGAGAAACATCATAGTAGAAACAGATAAGGCTTGCTTCAAACTTCAATTACGTCTTTCTTAGCAATACTAGGCTATATTAAATTTGAATATTGTTCAAATATAACTTTGTTTTTATATGTAGTTTCTTTTCCTCGTGTTTATTTAAAGAACATCCTGTATATTAGGCTTGCGTATTGTTAAACAAAGCTTTGTGGTTTCATATATAATTTTTTTTTCTCCAGGTAAACAACGAAAGCTGTAAACGACGTCATGTATATTAGATTTGTATACTGTAAACAAAGCTTTGTGTTTACATATGCTCATATATAACTTTTTGTTTTGTTTTTGCTTTTCTTTATGCAAATAACAAGACACCCTGTTAACAAAATTTGACAATTAAAACGTATAGTAATTTCCTACAATCACCTTTGTTTGATTTCTGTAATACGAACAACTTATTACGAATATTTTTCTTGGTATTAATCATACATACGGCACAGCCAAAAATATAAAGTCTCTTTTGAGAATAGTGCCAGATTTTGTAATCGTTCCTCGTACTTTCTGTTCTTAAAGGTTATCAAAAAATGAATACTAAAAAAGCTTGCAATTCGCTTGTTAGCTTATATGGAGATAGGTTTTGAAAATATGCAAGCTCACAGTTATTGGCTTACTTTGAAACTCATGATCAGTGACGCAGTCTTATTGAAAGCTGTTTCTGCGTGTCCAATCATGTAGTCCCATCCGGTAAAAAGCTTCCACGCGAATGTATATTCGTCCTCCTTTTCAGATAACTTGCTCATCCGGGAATTTTCCGCCATTCTGAAAGTTAAACAAAAAGTGTACTATATAATACACAAATACATACACCAGTTTTATGTTTGATAATATAAATAAAAATTATATAATTAAATAATAAGTACATTTATAGCGTCAGTTGACCATATTCCCGAATAATGGATTTTAGTTTTCAGCACATTAAATATTTCGAGATGAGCTATTATTTGAAGTTTACTACGTGAAACGTTGTGGCACAGATTTATTAGATATTATATAAATGTTCTTCACTCACCATGTAAAAAAGTAGCAGGAGCTAAAACACAGCACTCGCCGTTCGCCAAATGTGGGCCTCGCTTGAATTTTGTGTGAACGGTGAATATAAGAGAAATTAATATGTATAATGTTGACTTTATCTCGCCTACGTAATCAACACTAATATTTCATTCAGTACTATTTTACTAGCCTGTTCTTGGCTCACTTCCTTTGGATAATAAAATATATAATGTTTTCAAAAGTTTAAGAGGTGGCGCCACTTGGCAGCAAGCGAATGTATTGTTACGACAGTGGGGGTCACGTGACGCTAGTAACGCGTCATATTCTCGAACGTTCACGTCCCTTCCTGAAGTCTCGAGAGGCTAGTAGATATGGGTAGTCTTGTATATATATAAGCCGCCAAGAAGTGACG